GCCTCCTGTAGAAAAAGCCGTTGTTCTGCTGCAAATGGTGAAATATGCAGCCGAAAACGATAATCGTGCAGATGAGAGAAAGTTTGGAGTGAGCGAGAAACTTGAGAGGGACTGGAGGAAAGCAGGGATGGAGAACACGGCTTCACAGCAACCGGCGGGTGGATCATGTAACTTTCCTGGAAGTCACTGGTTGGATGTACAAAGCCTAAACTTAAATGACAACTGAAACCATCCTGTCCTAACCCTAACTGGAACTGATGCTGAGTCTGACGACAGCGACAAAGAAGAGGAAGCAGCGCTCTGTTTACATTATGGATCTATGGTTTATCTCTGGAGGTCACACAGAAGTGACACCGAGGACGAAGAATCAATGGATTTAGTGATTTGCAGTTTGGTAAACTTGTTCTGTTGTTTATGCTAAATTACCAGAATAACTGTTAATATGTTACATTAAAATATTAAAGCCTATTCAGTCTGTTGTTTTCTCTTCTATTGTTATTACTAAAACCTGCCTTTCAAAATGAAATGACAGTTCCTGGTCTCTGATTTTATAAAATACATTTCCCCAAAAAGTGTGACTTATATATGTTTTTTTCTTCTTCATTGTGCATTTTTTGGCTGGTGCAACTTATACTCCGGAGTGACTTATAAAAACACGGTAGTTCAGTTTCCATAATCGTTCCAATCCTCCAAGTTTGAACCCAGAGACACTGAAGGACGGGTCAAATGCAGAGGACACATTTTCCTACAGGAACAATAGTGTAACCTTAACCATATTACTTTTTGGACAAAAACTATGGTTAAAAAAAATGAAGAAAACATCTTCAGTTATGTTTTATAACGACAGGTACACGGGCAAGTAAAGCTAGTCCTGGTTCAGTCCTGTTTTAGTCCTGATTTAATCACGGTTCAGCCCACGTTCAGCCCACGTTCTGCCCACGTTCAGCCCACGTTCTGCCCACGTTCTGCCCACGTTCAGCCCACGTTCTAGTACAGGTTTAGCAGTCCTGGTTCAGTCCTCACCTGAGCTGGGCGGGTCCAGGGCCTTGCTCTCTACCTCCACCTGGTGGTAGTGGCGGATGCAGACGCGGCTGTCGATCTGGTAGAGGAGGGCGGGGCAAAGGTACGAGAACTGATCCGGAGAGATGAGAGAGTCCGGACTGAGACCAAAGTCTGTGAGCAGCTGGGTCAGGTTCAGGCACTAGAGGAGAGAGACGGGGTAGAGGAGGAAGAAAGAGTGAAGGAATAAAGAGAGAGAGAATTAAAAAAAAAAAAAAAAAAAAAAACAGATTAAAGTGTTGACTGTGACCTGTACGTCTCTCTCCTCTCTCTTAAACTGTGAAAATGACAAACTCACAATGCTCAAGCCCTCTGTGTGTGTCAGATGCCCTCCCCGTGTGTCAGATGCCCTCCCCGTGTGTCAGATGCCCTCCCCCTCGTGTGTGTCAGATGCCCTCCGTGTGTGTCAGATGCCCTCCCCGTGTGTCAGATGCCCTCCGTGTGTCAGATGCCCTCCCGTGTGTCAGATGCCCTCCCCGTGTGTCAGATGCCCTCCCCGTGTGTCAGATGCCCTCCCCGTGTGTCAGATGCCCTCCGTGTGTGTCAGATGCCCTTCCCGTGTGTCAGATGCCCTCCCCGTGTGTCAGATGCCCTCCCCGTGTGTCAGATGCCCTCCCTGTGTGTCCATTGGGTCTGGTCTTATTCTGTGTAGAAGCTGCTGTAGTTTAGACTTCTACAAACATGTTGTGAAATGCCTGAGAGTCTTGGATGTCCAGGATGTAGAAATGTCATGAAGCTGTATCTCATCGTTCATGTCTCACCTCTTCATGTTGGTGGGTGGAGCCTCCTGGATGCAGTGGACCAATGAGAGCAGGTACGGTGGGCGCGTTCAGTCCTCCCACGGCCTCCCTCCTGCTCCTCGCAGCTCCCTCCCCGGTCTGACCCCTCCCTCGACCCTTCTGTCCTTTGCCCTTCCTCCTCCTCTCCTTGGCCTGCTCCTCTCCACCTGCGGGAGGCGCCGTGGAGCTGTGGGTCTCTTCCTGATCGTGGACGTGCAGATCCGGACTCAGGTCTTGGCTCTTTGAACTCGCCAAATCCTGCAGATGTTTGTGGTCTTCTACTTTGAGCTCTTGTCGTCGGCCACTTTGCGCAGACTCGAGCTCCTGGTCGTGTGTGGAACCCTCGAAACTTTTCACACCTCCTCCATTTTGTCCCAGCTCCTCCTGATGGGCGTGGTTTTCATGAGCGTGGTCGTGGTCGCCGTGGTCGTCATGGTGATCGTGCTCTGTTCCTTTCTGCTCATTTACACCATTTTCAGTCTGTAGTTGTCCTCCATTTTGCCTCATATCGTCTTCGAGAATGTGCTCTCCACTTTGTGCCACCTCCTCTCCGTGGTGATGGTCTCCGTGGTGATGGTCTCCGTGGTGATGGTCTCCGTGGTGATGGCCGTCTCCGTGGTGATGGCCGTCTCCGTGGTGATGGCCGTCTCCGTGGTGATGGCCGTGCCCGTGTCCGTGGTGCGAATCCTGTTTTCCATGTTTATGTTCCTGCTCGTTTGGCGTCACTTTCCGATGGCGTGCGTCTGGTCCTTCGATGGTTTTCCTCTCAGGACTCGCTGCTGTGGAATGAGTCGTGCAGTTGGTCGGCGCCTGCTCAGTTTGCGCTCTGTCGGACTCGTGGCCGTGTCCGTGTCCGTGTCCGTGCCCATGTCCGTGGCCCTGCGGTTTGGCGGCGTGCGAGTGGGTGCCATCTTGAACGTCCAGCATGTCTAGATGCGCCACATGGTCGTGTCCCAGCTCCTCGTGGTCGAGCTCCACCACTTTGACCTCCCCCAGACCCAGGCTGAGCAGCAGACTCTGGAACCCAGCGAAGTCCAACCGGTCCCTGGAGCCGTAACGCCGAAACAGCTGCCCGATGTAAAACTGCTGCTCCTCCTCCAGAGTGACGCCCCCCGGAGGATGTGCGGCGCCGTGAGGGTGGGTGTGGTTGTGGGTGTGGGTGTGGTTGTGGGAGTGGTTGTGGTGATGTTTGGGGTTGTTTTGCTCGTGGCATCGGTGAACTGGCTGAAGGAGAATGGTGAGGAGACACAAGAGGCAGACGTTTGAGGACATCTGGACAAACATGGTCCTGAACACGGCTCTGCAGAGAAGAAGAGAGAGGACAAAACTATTTAAGACTGAAAGAGTTTAAAAGATTTCACATAAAGTATTAAGTGCTCTTTTAATAGTATTTGGGGGTCCACGTGTACGTTTGGTGGAATCTGAAAATGCAGATGTGTGATGGATCAGATTTTTCATGGAGCCACATCAACATTTCGATTTCATTCGTGATCATTTTTGATATTTGTATTGCCTGTAGGCCTGTAGTCGAATAAAGAAGTTCTTGTTGGACTAAAGACATGAGCTGCCGATCACTTGGCCGACTAAAAAAGCTCTCAAAACTGTTCTGTGTGTCTGACCCAAACTGCTCTCACAGAGTTATAATATTATTAAATGAAATGTAATAAAAAATCATCTCATTTCTTTCTGATCACGGTCCCTCTGATACTCACATCGGATTTTGCAGTTTATGCGTCATTTAAGTCACTTTAAAGGTTCAGAAATCAGATTACAAATCAGATTTGGAGCTTAATCTGCTTTTGACAGAGAAATATCAAATTTTCAGATGACTGGCTCTTTCCTTTCTGCTGTGCTCCATCAAAATCCTGATCATCTAAAGTCTAGTCCATTAATACACATTAAGGTTGTGCAATTCATTGAATTTTGATCGTGACTTCGATTTGTGTGTGAAAAGATCTCCAGCGGTATAATTGAGTTGAAATGATTTGAATCTTAACAAAGCTTATTTTGGGATTTTTTTTTTTTTATATAAATAAGTATATTTATTTTATTTTTAGTATAGAGATTGTAGAACAGCTGGATATATCGTTTATTTGAGACATTTGTTTTTCTGCCTTATTTCATGTTCAAAGTTTATTTTATACATGTTATGTTTTAAACATCATGAAACTGCTCTAAGAGTCTATATTTATTTTCAATATAAAAGTTTTGTGTAAATTATCAGTAACAAAGTGTTTTGTTTTGGTTTGTTTTTTGAGAGAGAGAAAAATACTGAATAAATGCATTTAAAAACATTATTGTAATAATTGTGATTTCAATATGGACCAAAATAATCGTGATAATGATTTTTTCCATAATCGAGCAGCTCTAATACACACGACTGAGACGCCCAACAAATGGTTAATCGGTTAAACCACTAAAGGCCCAGAGCCCTGAACTGGAGCCACTCAGAGAAGCTTTGGCTCTTTTGTTGACAGTGTTGTTCACACAGATAAACTCATGAAACTAAAACTGATCCAACAGTCACAGCTAAACATCCAAACCAAACACAAAGCACACATCTCACAACAATCTGAGGGCTCTAAAGGTGCACTGGGTCACTTTTCTCTGTGTTCCATGGAGACGTTATTGCTTTTTCTGGATCTATCTCCATGGAGACAAGCTGCAGACACCACCAGACCCAGTTACAGCTCAGATCTGTGGAGAGGCGAGCCCACTGATGCAGTAAAATAAAGAATGTTTCTCGAGGCTTTTTCTCCCAAATAATCTTTAATTGTAAATGCAGTTGGGTATGTTTAATGCCATACTGAGGAAAATTCCAGACAAAGCAATATCATTTCCATGGAGACAAGCAGGTGGCGGACCCTTCTGAAGCTTTTGTGAAAAAAGTAATAATAATTTGACTTTATTTATACATGTATATATGTTCTAATGTTGTTCCTCAAAAACACACCTGGAGTTGTGTTTTGTTTCATTCACACGTTTGAGTACTTTTTTTTTTAAAATCATTTTTCAGTTTGTCTACATCTCCAAATCTTAAAATGCTCTGTTCCACCTTGTGATGTCATGATAGTTTTCAACTTAACAGCTCCTTTTACCTTTAGTTCAGCAGAGATTAGCAATTCCTGAAAGAATCAAAATTGTCCTAGTGAAGGTGTGTGGAGTTTAATACAGTAATACAGGAAGTGCTCCACTGTTTTTTTATGTATTACCACATGACATCACAAGGTGGAACAGAGCCAGAACAGCCTAAATATGCAGGGTTTGTGTGTTAAACATGTGTGAATGAAACAAAACACAACTCCAGGTGTGTTTGTGATGAGGAAACGACAGTAGAACAGAGATCAGGTCCTAGTCTCAGATGAGCCCTTTAACCATAAACAGGACGATACATCAGGGTTTGGGGGCACTTTAAATCTAAAGAGTTGATTTAAATACAGAGGCCCCATTGAAGAGCGCAGGAGCCCGCGGTGCATTCAAGAGCAGAGACAGCGCCGGAAATATAAGCTCTGTCTGAGGAGCCCAAAGGGGAAGTCAAGTGATCATCATGAGACCAGAGAGGAGTTTGGGTCCGAAAAAAAAAAAGAAGAAGACAGAAATATACAACTAAAATAGACCACAGGAAAATAAAAAGCAAAAGATAAACCAGAAAATTGAATGAACCCAGGACTGAACCAATTCAATCAGTATGAATCTACCTGACTAAACGAAACCAGGGAGTAAACCGAGACTCAACAAGAACTAAACCAGGACTAGAGCTGCTCGATCATGGAAAAAATCATTATCACAATTATTTTGGTCAATAGTGAAATCACGATTATTCAAACGATTATTTTTTAGTTACGTGATGCATTAATTCAGAATTTCTCTCTCTCAAAAAATAAATAAATAAAATAAAAAAACAGTTATTTATAATTTATGCAAAACTTTCAATTTGCAAATAAATATAGGCTACAAACCTGAACCTTAGAGCAGTTTTGTGATATATAAAACATAAAATTGATACATGAAATAAGGCACAGAAAAACATCAATGTATCTAAAATAAACTATTTATCCAGCTGTTCGACAATCTCAATGTTTAAAAAATAAAATAAATATACTTATTTATATTTTAAAAACCCCAAAATAAACTTTAAGCTTTAAATTGTTTCAACTCGATGATGAGTTTGGAGATCATTTGACACACAAATCAAAATTGCAATCAAAATTCAATAATTGCACAGCATTAACCAGGACTCGACCAAACAAGCTCTGAAACAAGGATCGTCATGTTTCATTTAGAGATTGAAACGTTTGGGTTGGCAAATATTTTTCAGCTTGTTTCTCAAAAAGTCCTGGTTCATTTTAACTTCTTGGGTTCTTTTTAAAGACAATGCAGTAAAGTGTGTTTACCTTGTTGACATGTTTCGGCTGCTAGATGCAACCACCAACACCGGTGACAGTTCTGAAGATGGCTCGCAGCTAGCAGCCGAAACAAGTCAAGAAGGTAAACACACTTTACTGCATTGTCTTTAAAAAGAACCCAAGAAGTTAAAGTATATAAGAAGACAAAATGAACACCTTTTGCTTAAGTCCTGGTTCAGTTCATAGACTGTATAAAAGAAGTGGACTAAGAGTGTGACCCACAGAGTTCAGCGCCGCTCAAATGAGGCTCGTGATGTTCACAGTTACAGGAGTCAATCTGGAGCCAGGCTCTATATTATGAATAGGATTATTTTAATGAACAAAATGTCGAGGTTCACTGCAGCCGGTACAGAGAGAGGAGACACAAGATCTTAATGTAAGTCCATTGGTGCCAGAGTCAGAAGGAGCCGAAGATCCTCCTGGAGAACTTCCTATTTGGCACACAGCGGCTACAGCGTTAGATCTGTCCACTCATATATAAGGTCCCTGGTTCGGTCCCTGGTTCGGTCCCTGGTTCGGTCCCTGGTTCGGTCCCTGGTTCGGTCCCTGGTTCGGTCCCTGGTTCGGTCCCTGGTTCGGTCCCTGGTTCGAGTTTGTAAAAACATGTCATGGCATAAACCACTGACCATAAAACCACAAAGAACCAAAACAAAGCCATAAAAAACAGAGCCAAAGTCTTTATGACCATTTCTATCAGAGACAAGGTCCATTCTCCACCACAACACAACATCTGGGAGGGCATCTGACGCAACACATCTGCAGATTAACTAGACACATTTGACCTGCCTCCATGTCAGTCAAACACTACAGGGACACAGGAGGATGGGAGGGCATCTGACTCTAAAACAAGATTTTAAAATGAGATGTATGTTACACACGTTTACACACAACATATTCACATCACCATGTTCCCTGAAAATGAACGAAAGAAAATGCTGCATTCACAGAACACAACATATTAACATGTTTTATAAGTCTCACTTTCATTTTTCACGCTCTGAGTCTCCTCTTCCTTTGCTCTCCATGCTAAGTCACTCCCCCTTCAGAGCACTATCACAGCACAGTCAGCGTCCATCCCACTCATGAAACTCCTGCACGTCACATCAGGTTTGTGGTTGTTGTGCACAATTTTGTGTCATGTTTTTGTGTATTTATGGAGAATTGTCGGGTGGGAGCGTGGGGGATGTCGGCTTGTGGGCGGAGCCTCGTACAGAAAATTTAAACTAACTGCACAGAAGGTTCGAATAGGGCCCGGGAGAGATCACTAGATTACTCAAATGTGCATGGATGTAATTAAAAAAAAATTAAAAATAAAATAAAAAATCTAATCAATCCCCCCTCTTTAAAATGTGAACTTTGAACAGAATCCTATTACTTAAACAGAAATCTCAAATCTAATCAAAATCAGATGTTTTTGTCAAATCCAAAACCCTGACGTGGGTCTGAAACAGCACCACAGAGCTGCAGTCACATGCTTCTGTCTGACCACATAACGTTTATACAACCACAGCCTTGACTTTTGCTCTTTATGACACTATAAAACACAAATTGAATAAGTGATTTGTGGTTTGTAGAGCAAAAAAGTGAAATCAGCAGAAATCATTTAATCACATCTGGAAAAAAAAAAAAAAAAACTGGCCAAGAATCAAACTATTTGTGTTTGAAAAGGTCAGATCACAAGTGGACTAAAGGGAAGTGAACTAAAACAAAGCTAAGACTGAACCAGGACTGAATGAGGACTGAATGAGGACTAAAACAGGACTAAACCAAGACTAAAACAGGACTGACCCAGGACTAAAACAGGACTAAAACAGGACTAAACCAAGACTAAAACAGGACTAAACCAGAACTAAACCAGGACTAAAACAGGACTGACCCAGGACTAAAACAGGACTAAACCAAGACTGAACCAGGACTGAACCAGGACTAAACTAGGACTGACCCAGGAGTAAACCAGGACTAAACCAGAACTAAACCAGGACTAAACCAGAACTAAACCAGAACTAAACCAGGACTAAACCAGAACTAAACCAGAACTAAACCAGAACTAAACCAGGAGTAAACCAGGAGTAAACCAGGACTAAAACAGGACTAAACCAGGATTAAACCAAGAAACAAAGACTAAGCCAGGACTAAACTAGGAGTAAACCATGACTCACCTAGGAGTAAACCAGGATCATACCAAGACTAAAACAGGACTAAAACAGGACTGAACCAGGACTGACCCAGGACTAAAACCAGGACTAAACTAGGACTAAACCAGGAGTAAACCAAGAGTAAACCAGGACTAAACAGGACTAAACCAGGATTAAAACAAGATTAAAACAAGACTAAAGCAGGACTAAACCAGAACTAAACCAGGACTAAACTGGGACTAAACCAGGACCATACCAGGACTGAACAAGGACTAAACTAGGATCCAAACCAGGACTGAACCAGGACCAGACATTCCAGAGTGAACGGTGACAAGTGCAGCATTAAAATAAGAACAGTAACAGTTTGATCTGAAAGCCTGTGGTGCGCGTCCCGCTGTTTGAGAACCACGTGTTGTGTGTCGTTCACTCACCTCTGCGCGCTCTCCCTCTCTTCTCCTCTCTTCTCCTCTCTTCTCCTCTCTTCACTCTTCTTCTTCTTCTTTCTGGACTCTCCTGTTTGGTTTCAGCTTCTCCCTCTCCTCTCCCGCTCCCTGCAGCAGTAGCAGTAGCAGCAGTATTAGTATCAGTATCAGTAGCAGTATTATCAGCAGTAGCAGTAGTAGTATTCCTCTCTCAGTAGTAGTAGTAGTTGTTTTGATTTGTCCCTCTCCTTTTCACGCCTGTTATCCACCAGAACCAGGAAGTGCCCTCTGAACTCTGATAGGCTGAACCGCAAAGCCACTCCTTCTGTTTCCAAATACCACGCACACTGCAATACAAGTACATACTACTACTACTACAACTACTACTACTACAAAGAGATTTTACAGCTTGTTAGCAGTAGTGTTGTCATCATACTAGAATTTCAAACTCAATTTTCATATTAAGGCATAGACTCAGTACTGTAATACCAATTCTGATACTACGTTAATAAAAACATTAAATGGTAGTACTTTTTCTTTTCCCATCTGTGGTCCAGGAAGGTTCCATAGTGTGCTTTTATACTCAAGATTATTCTAAAGACATTCAGGAACACTCCAAAAAAAACTGGCTAAAATATTAAATGACATAAAAAATAATCTGTCCATGCAGCAAAATTATTTTACTTGACAAGTTCTCTTAAAATAAACGACCTCTAGACTAAAATTAATCCAATTCAGAACTAGTAAGCAGACAATAAATCTGAAAACAAGATTTATAACTGAGTATAAGTTTTCAAATCTTGGCCAGATCAGAGAAATTTGCAGTGAGAGGTTCTGTGTCAATGGGACTGTTTTGTTTTTTTTAAGTATTGAAACCTGTGAAAAATGAGGATCTAGTTTGGATCCAATGCGATTTTGGAGACTTTTCACACCCCTCTGTGCTCTGAGCGCTCGTTCTTACGTAACTCCTCAGTAGGATTCTGACAATGGGGCTGTTATTGTACAGAGAAGCTGTAAGCCCCTTCACAAGACCCTCACCTGACCACCGCACCGGCACTTCAATCTACTGACCAACACGACACGGAAATACACAAACACAAGCAGGACCGATACACACAGTAAAAGTAAAAGTAAACGACGGCTAAACGACCCAAGTGACTCCATTTTTTAATCTACGTTCTAATGTTTCCTCATCACAAACAGACCTGGACAATCCGTGTGTCGTTCCTTCATAAATTTTTCAAAATAAAACCAAAAATAAGAAACCGAAAAAATGACAACTATTTTCTTCATTATTTGTCTCCAAAACCAAAATTTTTAAAAAAATGGATAATGATTAGTTTTTACAATTTTCAATTTATTGATTAAATGAAAAATGGATTCCCCGTTTCTCTGACTTAAGACTGTGATGCTGGACTTTTGCTCCGCATACGAACTAAACCAGGACTAAACCAGGACTGAACCAGGACTGAACCAGGACTGAACCAGGACTGAACCAGGACTGAACCAGGACTGAACCAGGACTGAACAAAGACTGAACAAGGACTGAACAAGGACTAAACCAGCACTGAACCAGGCTCAGTCTGGTTTAGATCTGGTTCATTCCTGTTTTAGTCCTGATTCAGTTCGGCATCTCAGTTTAAGTCACAGAAATGGAAAAAGGCCGTTATCCGTTTTTTTCATTATTCATTTAAAAACAAAATCGGAAACTGAACAACAAATCATTATCCGTTTTTCATTTTGGTTTTGGAGACAAATAATGAAGAAAAAATGTTTTTTTTTCTTCTTCTTCTTCTGCTTTCTTTTGGTTTTATTTTGTAAAATGAATGAACAACTGATCTACAGATTTTGGAGTTGTGTTTTGTTTCATTCACATGTTTAACACACAAACCCTGCACATTCAGACTGAGTTCTGTGTTTTAAACTCCACACACCTTCACTAGAATCATTTGGATCACTTCTGGAATTGCCGTTCTCTACTGAACTAAAGGGAAAAGGAACTTTGCTCTCTAAAACTATCGCTTCATGACATCACAAGGTGGAACAGAGCGTTTTGAGCTTTGGAGATGGAGACAGAGTGATAAAGAGTTACTCAAACATGTGTGAATGAAACAAAACATGACTCCTGGTCTGTTTTTGAGTGGGATTACCAGATTTTCAAAATAAAAAACTGGGACATCCCTGGTTTCTGGTGGTTGATAATAATAAAATTGTGAAATGAGTCGTAATTAAGGAAAACTGTTCTGAACTCAGCAGTAAAGTGAGTCAGTGTAATCATATATTATTTGTGTTTGGTTGTTTTTAAGCAGCCTTTCTGTGTTTTACCTCAGCGAATGATAGTTTACGTCTCTTTACTGTTGGCAGTAAAAATAGAGACATTTGGGACATTTCTTGTATAAAACTGGGACAAATCAGTGGTTTTGTATAAATCTGCTGGGACAGGGGACACAGGCTCAAAACTGGGACTGTCCCGGGGAAACAGGGACATCTGGACAAACTATTTTGAGGAGTTAACATTGTAACACGACAAGAGTCTATTTTGCACAATATAGGACTTTACTTATTAAAGGGACACTAGGTAACTTTTCTTTAGCCTGGGCTGGAGACGGGTCAGAACAGAGTTTGGTCTGTAACTGTCAGATTACAGATTTGTTGACCTGGTTCATGGTTCATATCTCTGGAATTCCTGGGTCTTTCCACATCACAGCAACAATCCAATCCAACAAAAACTGGCACAAACCTCAGCGTCTTCTCTGTCAGGAGAAATAAACTCAAGTCAAATGAATTTTTCACAATAGTTTCAAAAAGTGAAGTCATTATTCAACCCCAAAGATGTGAGTGTTTGAGCTGAAAGAACTTTAAGACATAAGATTCATATGACAAGTTTGTGGAGCCGATCCCAAACAAAGAACGAGAAGAGAAACATTTATGAAGCAGAAGATTTCTTTTAAATACTGTGAATACTGTGAATACTGTGAATACTGTGAATACTGTGAATACTGTGAATACTGTGAATACTGTGAATACTGTTATATAGGCCCTTGCTTTAAATTTGAAATGACGTCATCATCATGTTCCAGGGCTCTTCAACGGTTTTCAGGCCAGGGATCCAAACTGATGGAGAGTTGGAGCAGGGACCCCCGACTGTATACTTTGGAGTACTTGATATTGTCATGCTTTTTGAAACTACATGGATGTACCAACCACATCCTGAAAATTCTTGTTTGTTCTCTTCAAATTGGCTGTTGAGCCCAAGTCTCCATGAATAAGCGACTGTTTACTGTAGAGAAGCAAAGACGAGGACATGTTTTAACATCAGATGTTTTGTCTGTTTAAAGACAATAAAAAGTCCAGTCTTTCCTTAACCATATTAAAAATATTATTGATAGAGAAATGCTTTATATATGAGATCACTGGTGTTAGTTCTGGTGTTAGTCCTGGTGTTAGTCCTGGTGTTAGTCCGGGTGTTAGTCCGGGTGTTAGTCCGGGTGTTAGTCCGGGTGTTAGTCCGGGTGTTAGTCGGGTGTTAGTGGGTGTTAGTCCGGGTGTTAGTCCGGGTGTTAGTCGGGTGTTAGTGGGTGTTAGTTCGGGTTGTTAGTTCGGGTGTTAGTTCCTGGTGTTAGTCCTGGTGTTAGTCCTGTGTTAGTCCTGGTGTTAGTGTGGTGTTAGTTCTGGTGTTAGTCGGTGTGTTAGTCCGGGTGTTAGTCCGGGTGTTAGTCCGGGTGTTAGTTCGGGTGTTAGTTCGGGTGTTAGTCCGGGTGTTAGTCCTGGTGTTAGTCCGGGTGTTAGTTCTGTTTAGTCCTGGTGTTAGTCGGTGTTAGTCCTGGTGTTAGTCCTGGTGTTAGTCCGGGTGTTAGTCCGTATAGTCCGGGTGTTAGTCCGGGTGTTAGTCCGGGTGTTAGTTGTGTTGTTAGTCCGGGTGTTAGTGGGTTTAGTTCGGGTGTTAGTTCGGGTGTTAGTGGTGTTAGTCCTGGTGTTAGTCTGGTGTTAGTTCTGGTGTTAGTTCTGGTTTAGTCCTGGTGTTAGTCCGGGTGTTAGTCCGGGTGTTAGTTCGGGTGTTAGTTCGGGTGTTAGTCCTGGTGTTAGTCCGGGTGTTAGTCCGGGTGTTAGTCCGGGTGTTAGTCCGGGTGTTAGTTCGGGTGTTAGTTCGGGTGTTAGTTGTTAGTTCGGGTGTTAGTTCGGTGTAGTTCGGGTGTTAGTCTGGTGTTAGTCCTGGTGTTAGTCCTGGTGTTAGTTCTGGTGTTAGTTCTGGTTTAGTCCTGGTGTTAGTCCTGGTGTTAGTCCTGGTGTTAGTCTGGTGTTAGTCCTGGTGTTAGTCCGGGTGTTAGTTCGGGTGTTAGTTCGGGTGTTAGTTCTGGTGTTAGTCCTGGTGTTAGTCCTGGTGTTAGTCCTGGTGTTAGTTCTGGTTTAGTCCTGGGTTAGTCCTGGTGTTAGTCCTGGTGTTAGTCCTGGTGTTAGTCCTGGTGTTAGTTCTGGTGTTAGTCCTGGTGTTAGTCCTGGTGTTAGTCCTGGTGTTAGTTCTGGTGTTAGTTCTGGTGTTAGTTCTGGTGTTAGTTCGGGTGTTAGTTCGGGTGTTAGTTCTGGTGATAGTTCGGGTGTTAGTTCTGGTTTAGAGGTGCACAGGAGGAAGCTACATGAGAAAACACGGTCCACACAGGAGGACGGTGGTGTCCACGCAGTAACTACAGAAGGAGATGTGGTGTGCTCAGGTTGATGATGATGATGAAGGTGTGTGTTTGTATGTGTATTTGTGTGTGTGTGTTTGTGTGCGTTTGTGTGTGTATGTGTGTGTATGTGTGTGTGTGTATGTGTGTGTTTGTGTGCGTTTGTGTGTGTATGTGTGTGTATGTGTGTGTATGTGTGTGTTTGTGTGCGTTTGTGTGTGTATGTGTGTGTATGTGTGTGTATGTGTGTGTTTGTATGTATGTGTGTGTATGTGTGTGTTTGTGTGTTTGTATGTGTGTGTATGTGTGTGTTTGTGTGTGTATGTGTGTGTTTGTATGTGTTTGTATTAGAGCCCGACCGATATATCGGTTGGCCGATATTATCGGCGGATATGGGCAACTTTAGGCATATCAGCTATCTTGCCGATATGCTTGCTGATAGGGGCCGATATTTCACGTGGGCATGTTATACCTCGTTATAAAGCTTAGACTCTCTACATTCTGTTCATTTAATTCAATTTACAGACAGATAAATGTCCTAATATGTGTCTCTACATCAGTATTTATCTGTGGAGTCATTTGTCTGTGTGTGTCCGTACTGTCCCTGAACACACCACAGAGTCGCGTCACTCACGTGTGTTTGTTTACACCTGCAGACACAGATCCAAACACTGAGATTATATTCTTTTTACGGACAATCGGTTTGAGTCTGGATTAAAAGGACATTTATTAGTGCAGATTTGTGATGTGAAGGAGCCTGTATGAGCGGTGAGTGTTGGAAATATGTCGACTCTGAAGCTAGTTTTTGTCATTTGTATGGGTTAGCTGCTGTAGCTCCCGCACATAAACAGACTGTTTTCTATTGGTCTATTAAAGTGACTATATTGGCCGTATATTTGCTACTGGACCTGCACTGATATGTAAATGAGCTGTGAATAGACGTGTGAATTATGACATTTGCGCATATAATTAATTACCGCGGCGCGCACGTATTTACGGCTAAAGGCTAATAGCGCTACTTTCTTTACTAGTGATGGGTCGGTCGCGAACGAAATGACTCTTAGAACCGGCTCTTTAAAGCGAACAACGGGAGCCTGATCCTTATTGGGAGCCGTGTTTTCTCTTTCTCTCACTTTTTTTCTCTTCCCACCGCGTGCAGATTCGTGGTTTGACAGCTGCATAAAAAATAATAATAATTTTTAAAAAAACGAGCATATTTGACTGTAGTTTAGCATAAAATAAATAAGTCCTGGTTTAGTCCTTTTTCAGTCCTGGTTTGGACCTGGTTCAGTCCTGATTCAGTCCTGCTTTAGACGTGCTTTAGTCCTGCTTGCAACAAAACAATCTGAAGAGCCACTTGGGAGCCAAAAAAACCAGCAGCTTTTAGTGAGCCGAGCCAAAAGAGCCGGTTCTCTAAAAAGAACTGGAATACCCATCACTAGTGTCTAGAATGTGATGCAAAAATGCCATTAAACCAACCTACTGTCTGTAAATATGATGTAAAGAGTCAGAATAACAATAAATGTTGCCTAAAT